CTTGGGTTTGGGTTTCCCTTTACAAACTTCTGTCCATACTTGCGCCAGCGGTAGCCATCATTCACAATATCCACATCGCTAATAGTCTGAACAACATGCTTTGGTTCCCCATGAGACTTATTGTCATCACAGCCAGAAAAATATTTCTTTCTGTTGAATAGGCAATTGATAATGACACGTGTATCAGTATAGAGCGACCTAAAACAACAACTCAAAATGAATGTACACGAAGAAAAAAACTGAAAATAAGCTATTTAGGTTTGCATACTGCTTTTTCAAATCTGGACCAGTGATTCGATCATCCTCATCCTGCAAATTATGTGACTGAGAAACTGAATCCAATGTGTCTGCATCAGCTGATGTAACACCCTGTGATGGTGAAGTCTGTTTTGTCTCATTAGTTGCACACTTCCCCCCAGGCGTAGGTGTAACAGATTGTGTGCCTTCACTCAAGACAACGATAGTGTATGTATTAATAATATGACTCAATCCAGATCAGTAATAGAAAAGACTCGGCAAACTAGGATTACCTTCAGAAGCAGTTGCGACAGGCAGTTCTGTTTTTCTTACTTGGATGTTGGGAGATGCCTGAGGGTTATTTTGAGGTTTAGGATGTTCATGGTTACCAATGTAATTAATATCTGTAATATGACCATCTTGAGATCTCTCTACTTGTCTTTTTGCAGTGCAATCAGTGTGAGTGCACTTATAATAACTCCGAATAAATTCATTTCCTCTAACAAGCTTTTGTCCATACTTTCTCCAATTGTATCCATCTTCTGATGGTTTTTCAGCAGCTTTTACACTTCTTTGATCAAACTGTGATGCATGAGCACCATTTTCGGGGTTCCTCCTAGGCTGCAATTTGTCTAAACCTTTTTCATGCCATTTGAGATAAGCCTCATAAGCGATTCTTTGCTCATCAGAATGAGCAGCAAGGACACTTTGTAAGGGCTGTGGATTATCAGAAGCCTTGTCAGTAATTACAGAAAGGGCGAGAGATTCTTCCACACAACTCTTTTCATCATTTCTCTGTCTGTTCCCGTTGTCAATGGTCTCCTCCTTGGGTACAATAGAAACTTGGCTAAACTGTGAAGCATCATCCTCTTTCCCTTGAACTGCAGCAGGAGGAGAATTCTTTCCTTCGTGCAATTGAGATGCAGAAGAGATCCCATTAACAACACTCTCCCTCGGCTGCAAATCACATGGCACAAGTTTAGGCTTATCAACATCCCCAACTTTCTTTTCTATCGATTCAGATGCTTCTGCTCCAACTTCGTGGCTCACTCCCTTCCGGAGCTCACCCGAAGCTCCCTCGGCCAACAACGGCCCATCACTCACTTTGAATTCGGTCTCCGATTCAAGAAACCCAGGTTCAGGCTCCGGCTTCACCTGCAATTTTCCAGAAGAGCCTTCATGGACGCCCTCTTCCTTGGGCGTAGCCATAGAACCTAAGCAGAGCGAACACTCGAAATCAGATTAAAAACAACCATAACACGCCCATCTCAGACAAGGGCAAAGGTGACAGACATCGTACCAATTTTTATTTTTTGAAAAAGGAATTATTATAAAAAAAAATGATCCCTGAAATGAGATGGTTATATAAAAGCAGAACTAGCGAGTCAACGATTATATAAAAGCAGAAAATCAAGTAACTTTCTTATCTAATTTCGCCTCCATTTGGTAGAAGACAGATGGGGATTAAGACTCCGTTTACGATTAGATTAAAAAAATAGCAGATGAGTCTTCAAGGAAGAATAAGATACCAGAAATACGGAACCGATCGAAATATCGGCGACTGAGAGCTCGGGGCGAGCTGAATTCCGACTGCGGAAGCGCCGGAGGGAGTGAATCGGAGCAGCCGTGCACGGCGGGAGGTGGGTTGAGTGGCAGATTTGACTTGGGGCGAGTGAAAAGTCTTCGAAACCGCAGTGAATTGTGCGTGTAGAAAAGGGATTAGATGCGATGAGTAGTATATCGTCGTCGTCGTTGTCGTTGGTTCACGTGTGAGAATGTGGAGGAAGATGATGGTCGAAACGTAGGAAGGAGTAGTGGGCTTCTGCTCCAAAAGTCAAATTGGCAAAATCTAAGCTTCCATGGACGATCAAATCGACGACCCAGGTTGTTTGTTTGCCAGGATTGTGATGGAGAGAAGTTGTCAAAGTTCTGTTTCAAAAAGCTCATTATTTGATAAATAGGTATTGTTACTCTTTATAAATTATAGTTTCAAAATATACGATTACTAAAAAGTAATATTTGCATTAAATAGTACGTATTAAAATTTAAGTCATTTTCTTAAATAGCATTTAAATTGTTTTATTTCTTAAATAGTACTCTCTCTGTTCCTCAGTTTTTGTCCATTTTTAAGCACTTTGACACATCAAATTCTCTCAATGTGTAAGCCTAAATGTAGTCATGTGTGATCTTGTTTGATTTGTCTTAACATATAGATTATTAATATATAATTTTTATAATTTTTTAATATACAAATTACAAGATAAAATGGATTAAAGAAGTGCATTGGATGGTGTGTAAAAATGAAAGTGGACAAATACTTTGGGACGGAGGGAGTACTTAATAATGTTTATAATATCCAGTGATGATAAACATTTACTTGAATAATGACTAATGAATAATGACTAAAAGTGCTACATTGGGAAAAAAACACATGCATACAAAAAAAAAGATAAAAGAACTAGAAAAGAGAATGAAGAAGAAGAACAGTGTGTACAAAAAAATACGGAGTAATTATATAGAAAAGGAAAATTTAACTTACAAAAAAGATTTTACTATGTATTCTTTTGATCCCAATAGATTCAAAAAAATAAAAACTTTTTAGATAAAAAATGAAAAATATTTAGTTTGAGACGACAAATGAAGTAATTATTATTTTTTTAATTTCATTTTATTTTTAAAAATAGTTTGAAAAATAATTTATACGGAGTATACATTTATGAGTGAAAGAGAAGAAAAAAAGAGAGGGAGAGTTGGTGTCCATTTCTAAAACTATATGAGGCAGCGAAGCTATATTCACCGAAGACTTGAAGGGTATTATAGTCTATAAAGGCAACAACGTAAGTTTTGAAATCATAAAAACTAATCGTGTACATTTACCAAACTAGCTATATGTGATATAATATTGGTGCAATGAACTCGCCATCTCAAATTAAATTTCACATTTTTTATTTTTTATTCTTGAGGAAAATTTTAATTTGGTACAACTAAATAAATAAATGGTGTGTTTCTGTTAAAGAGTATCCCACTTGAGTTGAACTAAGAGCATATGCAGCGGCGAGTTCTTCCTCTACCTCGCCCTGCCACATCATATACTTCCTCGATTAGCAAGGAGAGGAATGGGCATTCCACCCCGGCGAGCGAGGCATGTGCGAGGCAAGTAAGTTCAATTCTTTTTTCCTTTTTTTTCTTTTCTTTTTTTGAAGAAATAGGGTGTAGGCGTGTAGCAATCACTGGAATAAGAAGAAAAAAGGTACGGACGGATTGATGTTTTTTATACAAAAATGTCTTTATTTTTTTGTAAGGCATTTAAATAAATTAGATAACATATTTTTAAATTTTTTAATAAGGAAAAATAAGATTTTTTTAATGTTTTTGAATAATAAGGAAAAACAATACTTCTATTTTTAAATAAATGTTATAGAAGTATTTTCATGATCAAATAAATAATTAAAATCATTTTTATTAATTAAAATACTTTAAAAAGGTGTAAAAATAATAAAAAGAGTGACTTGCCATTGTAAGGCATGTCATTCCATTCATTTGCCACACGGTGACTGGACTGATATTAATTGGCTAAAATACTTCACGTCATTGTGTGGCATTCCATTTCTTACATGCCATTGTTCATGCTCTAAGTAATCAATTGGATTCAATCTTTTAATGCGGTTCAGCTCAAGAGCTTATATACCCATTATTTTCCTCACACTTTTCTGATGTGAGATACTCTTTAACAGTTTCTCTGTACTGGTGCTTATTTACTCATTATTGATAAGTAATTTTTAACTTAAAAACTGCTTATAAGTCTAATATTCTTTCGTGTGGATAAAAGTCTGAAATGATATATAAGTCATTTGTAGGTTTATAATAAGTGAGAGATAGTTCTATAAATAATCTGGTCAAAACAGAGAAATGAAAAAACTACTTAAAAATAAGTAGATAAGACATACTGATTTTTTCTGGATTATAAGTCATCTTATAAACATAAGAAATACGTCATCAGTTAACTTATACATTAAAAATATTTTATATGTAGTTTTAAGTTTTAACTAACTTATAAGCATAAAGAAACACCACAATGTTAGAAGTTTGTATTGAGACGGATGTATATTACTCCGTAAAATATACTCGAGTAAAACTTGTGTTTGAGTTAGTTCATTAATGTAGATAGGAATTTAATGATTAAAGGAGCTTGAAATGGTCATGAACCACTACACACTTTTTTTTGGCTCAGATTAAGTTGGCTAACATGGTGTTGAAATGGTGAAAACTATTCAAAGAGACTTGAACCGCTACACACGGTCTAATGGTATTAAAATTTTCAAGGATTTTCAAAGACTTTAAAAAATGATAGATTGTGATGCATTCTAGTACTCCCCCCGTCCGGAAATATTCTTCCCATTTTCCTTTTTGGTCCGTCCGGAAATAATCTTCCCATTTCCTTTTTTAGTATGCTTTTTAAGGCTAAATATCAATAATACCCTTCTATTTTATAACAAATCTACTTTTTTAATACTTTTTTAATAATAAAAGGAGATTTAAAAGTTTATAGTATGTGCATTTTTGAAAATTTTGCATTTTTTTACTATTCCTTAATAAGCGTGTCAAGTCAACACGGGAAGAACATTTCCGGACGGAGGGAGTATGTTTGATATGAGTAAAAAATCTATTTTGAAATCTCTCCAGAAATCTAAATATTTTGAAATCCATGAATGAGTTCATCCTTATAGCACCCATCCAAATCATTTAGCCCTCCAAAGGCTCCAATGCAAAACATCTCTGCTGCATTGGTGTAAAAATTAAATTGAGTACATTGGGGTCTTATACAAAAAAATCCTACTCCAAACCCGCCAATACGTAAAGGCTCCGACTTTAGGATTCACAATCCATTAGGCGTTGGCTTCGAATCCTTCGAGAAGAAACGCACAATCTTGACAAACAATCCTCGCCAATATGACGAGTATTCCACAACGGTTATTCTCAACCGCTTACGCTGATGATTTTGTTACAGCTGTTCTCAACCAATTGCACTGAGAATTTGGCTATGATTATCCTCGATTGCTTGCTCCAAAGATTTTGGAACACTATCCTCAACAGTCTACACCGATGATTTTACAATAGCTATTCTCTACTGCTTACAATGAATACGAAGAGTATGATATGATGAAGAGTTCAATACCGAATACTAACAAATGTTATACTAAAGCACAATCGCGAATACATTACCAAAACAAACCGACTGAGAATCATGTTGGAATCCTTTGCAGACCCAATATCAAGTCTCCATTTTGCAGCATCTCTCCAGCATCCATTAACTTTCTCATGTGCTTGACACATTGCATCATAACCTGTTTGGAATAAAAAGCAGATCATCCATCATTCAAGATGAAGTTCATATATAGCAAACAGTACTGAGACCTTCACAAACCAATTCAGAAAATGTCTCTATAGTGTTTGTTCATCAACAAAGAAAGATATATAATGCCCATCGCGAGATGCAATTTCAGGTCGGGTTGTTGTTTCATAAACTTGGGTTATCATTAAAGTTATCTAATCAATTTTTTTAATCAATCTACGAATGAAGCCAGAATGAACATGTGTTTGCCATCCCCATCTCATATATAAGTTCTGGTAGCCCTCTCAATGACACCTTGGACTTTAGTGATCCATACAGGCTTTATCGATCTACCCCGTACCAGGATCATGAAATAATATAAACACAAGAAAAAGAAATTAAAGGTACAACAAATTTCATATGGAGTATGTGTCATAAATTCAAGAACGAACTGACCCTTTAAGCAAGCGACCAAACCTATTCTCCTCTTCAAATCAACGCCAAACTTGTCATTTCTTCAGATATCCCATCAATAACGCAGCTTTGTTCTTGAAGCAGAACAAGAGATTCCAAGTATTCAAAAACGTAAAATATGTTGTCGGAACCATAGATTCCAAGTTCACTAACAGCTCCAGTATTCGGGCAGTACGAAACAAGCTCACCATCCTCCTCGTCGTTAGTAGAGATGAAAACGTCACCATTTTTCCTAAGGCAAACAACTTCCCTGACCCATTCAACCGGTTCCATACGATGTAGCCTACACCAAGATCCCACAACTCCGTACTCTTTCATCATCCACAACTCAAACGAAAGGCCATCCATCCCTACAGTTTGCCAAGAAACAACAACAGACTCACCAAACGCCACCATTCTCAAGTATTTTGAAGAACTTGAACCCGCATTGGCCAATTCATCTGGCAGCATAATCTCACTAAAAACTTCATCACTCATGGAGAACACAATTATACAGTTCTGTCTCGCATTGTCGTCCATCAATTTGGACCCAATCCAATGCACTGCTCCATGGACAAAAGTCTGAGACTGAACTAAAATGATCTTACAGGGATTCACCCCAACAACAGATATCCTTCTCCACGTCCCCGTGCCGAGTGAATAAATCTCAACATGATCCGACACCCTCCGAATCGATCCCTTCTCCGTTTCAAGCACAACTCTGACAACCTTGAGACCACCCTCTGGATCAACACCAAACCCTAGTACGGAGGAGCACCAGGGTCTAATAATTGCAGCAGAGGGCAAGGTCATAAGCTTCTGAATACAAGGGTTCCAAAGGTATATGGATCTGGACTCGCTATAGGGATTGGAGACTAAGCAAACGACGCCGTTACAGCAGCCGAGCATGATAAGTATCTCGTTCCCGTCGGGGATCGAAAGGGGGAGCTCCGGAGAGCTGATCGGGGTAAGTGTTTGATGATCAGATTCGCAGAGTATTTCATACTTACCCTTTCTGGTCGGATGTCGTACACGTCGGTGGAGGAGGAGGTTCCGGCCGGAATTATCTTTGCAGCGGGAGTGGCGGAGGTGGGCGGAGGCGAAGGCGGGACTGGTGATGAAGAGGAACCACGACTTGGAAACGGCGGTGAAGCGGACGAGGGACCTAACGGGGAGCCTTTTCAGGATTTCGATCAAGAGTTCTTCCGGGAAATGGTGCCGTTCCGACATCGTCTTTCACCTTCCCGGCTTCCCCCTTCAAATTATTCCATCCTCCCCCTAAGGCCGTGTTTGGAGGTTAGCATTTTTGGGAGTTCGTGTCAGCAAGCTTTACTATTTAATTTAGCTGGTTTGACTTGGCAGGATAGTGCTGATCTTTAAAAATGTGTAGTAAAACTATCTATTTGCAAATAGCTGTTCCAATATATATTTATACACACACACATTTATATCACACGCACGATATTTGTTTTTCATTTTTTACATGTAAAAATTAAATCTTTACTATATGCAGTATTAAATTTCACTTTCAATTAATTCATAAGAAATTATTAATATACAACTTTTTAATGATTTTTACTTTTTTTTCTCATCTCTTTTTTATGAAATTTTTAATTTTTAAATTTTATTTTTTTATAATGAATTTTTTAACTTTTATTTTTATTTTTTTACATACATTATAGAATATCTTTCAAGAAAAATAATTTAAAAAATTAATTTTTCTAACAGCCAAGTCCAAAAGCTACTCTCTTTGGCTTTTCAAATTTTGGCTTTTCAGATCAAAATGCCAAGTGAAAAAGTTATTACCCAAACAATGGTTTTAGCTGTTCGATTAGTCTAAAAAGGCAAAATCAATCAAAGATGTCAAAATCTCTCCGAAAAACTATTTTCCAAACATAGCCTAAGTATTTTACAACTTACAAGTAGTACTCCCTTCCAAAAATTATTTCTCATTGCGTATTACAATGTTTGGCTAAAATTATTTTCAAATCATTTTATATAAAAATGATTTGGAATTAAAAAATAAAAATGGTGTATTTAAAAAATACATCAAGAGATGACAAAACTAGAAGTGACAAGACTATATTATTTTATCAAATAGAAAACAAAGTGAAAAATGTTTGACCCCATGAATTATGAACGGAAAGATAATTTTTGGAGTCAAAATTAAAAGTAAGAAATATCTAAAATTGTAGTTAAATTTAAAGTGACCTGACAGCAATATGAAAATCGGCTTGAAGTACTTTTGTGAGATTTTTTCAAAGTTTGGAGTATAATTTAGGTATCAAGATGATACATCACTCAAAGTTGGGGGACCATGAGTGAAATTTACCCCTCTCTCCCCGTCTAAGTTAAGTTGGTTCCTACTATTACGTGTTACCAACTTTAACCGACATTATTTTTAAAATTCAAAAACAAAATTTATATAATTAAAAATTAGGTAAAAAGTTTCATAAAACAAGAAATGACATGACTATATTATACCCTATATTATTAAATGAATAACGAAAATGATCAAACGAAACGGCAAGGTTCCGTTGATACTGACATCTATAATTGGTATAGATGGTATATGTATATCTGTATTTGACCTATAATTAAATAAAATGTACTTGGTCCGTCCCTGAGTGTTTGTCCACTTTTGACTTTTGGAACTGTTCATCTAAGCACTTTGACTCATCAAATTCTCTCAATGTGTAAGCCTAAAAATAGTCATGTGTGATCTTGTTTGATTCGTCTTAACATATAGATTATTAATATATAATTTTTATAATTTTTTAATATACAAATTACAAGATAAAATGGATTAAAGAAGTGCATTGGATGGTGTGCAAAAATGAAAGTGGACAAACACTCAGGGACGGAGGGAGTATATGGTATATTTATTAAATAAAAAAATATTTTAAAAATATTTATGAAATAAATCTGGTAAAACTATTTTTATATAAATATCTAATATTCATTTTATTTAATTCATGATCAAAGATTATCAATTTTGACAAAAAACTCAAAAGTTAACCAATACTCAAGGACGAAGGTACTAATAAATATGAAAAGTATATGATTGTAGTTTGTATATAAAAAGTCAAAATTATCATTAAAAATAATTTACAAAAAAATTCATTTTTTAATATGAGAATTATCTTGGAAGAGATAGAAATTAATAAGTAATTTGAAATCACCCAAAATAGGAGTAAATATAACATCCATCCTCAAAATAAAAATTTCATTTTTTTTCAAAATACGAGTTTGCACTGTGACATAATGATATTGTATAGTGGCATTATATATTGACATTATTAGCATTATACTCTTATTTTGGAAATAAAAATTTGAATTTCTTATGTCACTAAAAAGGGATAATAGTTCGAATTTCGTTTTAATTCCTATCAATTTCAAACAGATTCTTGTATTAAAAAATGAATTTTTTGAAAAAATATTTTCTATGGTGTACAACTTTTGATTTTTATAAATAAACTACATTTATGCATTTTTTCCTATCTATTAATTTGTATATTAAAAGGGGTTTAAAAAACAAATTCTCCAAATAGTCCTTTATAACGGGAGAATTTCCATATTTAGTCCATATTGTCAAATATTATTTAGTAGATAGTCCTTATTTATTGGTACATTTCACGTTTGGTTCTGGTCTAACAGCACTGAGATAGAAAAATAGACGGAGTACTAAACATGGAATAATACCCAATTAATAAGGACTATCTACTTAATATTTGATAAATGTGGATTAAATATGGAAATCTTCCATTTATAAAGGACTATTTAAAGAACTTACTCTAAAGTTTATTTTCGTTTCACAGGAGATACTTAAATTTTGAAGAGATTTTATGAAAGTACTAATGTTGATTTTTAGGTTACTATCATATCACTTTGACGTAATTACAATTTTATATATTTCCATATATTATTTTTGGCCTTGCCATTTTTCTTTTTTCTCTTATTCCCTTTTCTTTCATCTTTAACGGCCTCATTTCCATCCTTTTTGGAGAATAAGGAGGAGAGAATATGAGAAAATTAAAAAAGGTGTAATTACATCCAAAGTGACCTGACAGTAATATGAAAGTCGGCTTCAAAGACTTTTGTGAAATTTTCTTCAACATTTAGATATTTTTATGAAATAAAAAAAAAGTTTAGTTACCAAGATGATATATCACTCAATGTTCAGGGATCATGAATGAAATTTAACCCTCTCCCCATCTAAGTTAAGTTGGTTCTTTTCATCACGTGTTATGAATCTTGATCGACATTAAAAACTATATAAAAATTCCACAAAACAAGATATTACATGGCTATATTATATTATTAAATGATTAATGAAAATAATCAAACAAAGTGAATAAAATCTAATCGTGTGAAAACTGTATGAGAAGAACCAACTTGGACATATGCAATATAAAAGGTAAGATATCTTTTTCTATTTTTGGTATGAATATAAAAATTAGAGAGCGGACAAGAAATGGTGTTTATTGCACCAACACCCTCTGTGGTCTGGTAAATGTGTATTATTACCTCCCATGGTTTCAAAACTTACGTCATTGCCCCTCATGATTCTGATATTGTTACGCTAATGCTCCTCAGGACAAAAACATCAATATTAAGTGAATAACTCCACTGCCTCCTACGGTTTTGGAAATGGGGGCCAATGCTCTCTCCTTTTTCTTTATTGTTTTTTTTCATAAAGAGAAGAAAAATATTTGTGTTTAAAATAATGAAAAATTTGTTAATATGCCTTAAATATGTATTGTGTTGCCACTACGCAGATAAGTAAATGAGGGTCTCGCTGCCCGGTCAACGAGTTAGTCAAAGTGGGGCGACACCCCCTTGGTTAAACTTTAAAATAAAAAAGCAAACCAGACAGTTAAAAAGGAACGGAAGGAGTAACATTTTCCCTCATTCTAACATACAATCCCAATCCTTTTTGGAAATAAACTTATATTCAAATTATAAAAAAAGTATTTTGACAAATTTGCGGGCAAATATATACTACATCCCTCCCAATGCAGACTTCATTTTGACTTTTTGAGTTAAACTTGACCAACTTTGATCCTAAACTAAATAAAAATTACTCCCTCCGTCCCTAAATAAACTTCTCATTTTTTGACTTTTTGAGGATTTAAGGGAGGAATATTTTTGTGTTGACTTTCCAAAAATACCCTTGATGTGATGTGTAAAAATAAGATGTGATATGTAGATTAATAGTAAAAAGGTATGATGTGATAGGTAGGGTATGAAAAAGTAAGGGGTAAAAAAGGTTTTTAAGGGAAAAGAGAAGTTTATTTGGGGACAAAGAAAAAACGAAAGGGAAAGTTTATTTGGGTACGGAGGGAGTACATCGCATATATTAGTACCAAATAAGTTCATTAGATATATCATGCTAAAAACTTTGAAATTTTATTTCTTTGCATTAATGTGTAATACAAATTTGGTAAATTTCAGTTTTGCATTGAAAACTGAAAAGCTGTCATCAAGTCCAAGAGAGAATGATTGGTGATTTGGTATATTTTAGGGGAAAAAAAGGCTTACAAAAACGAGTTGATGAATAGCGCCCGGCCCATAGAAAGGTCAATGCATAATAACATCAATGGAAGTGCATAACCTTATGATGCAAGTACAATTTAAAGCATACAAAGGGTCTTAATCTTTCAAGTGCAGAACTTATTCATATCTATTTTAAGAGGAGAAAAATGATTCAGCCCAGATTTTCTGTACAAAAAACAGTGTACAATGTTTGGCTTTCAACTCAACAAAAGTATCTCATTGTAATCAACTGTGTGAACCAGGAATGGGAGACGCACCTCAGCTATTGTCTATAATTTGACCAAGAAATCGGGCAGCCATGGGAGTTTCCCTTCGTGTTTTGCATAGTATACAGCCATTGCAAGTAAAATGACGAAAAGAATGATCCATAAGCTGAGTCCTGCAAAGGTAGTGATGAATTTTGTGCATAATTGCATATTTATCCTGAAAACCAACTCAAACATATGTTTTTATTTGGGAATTAGTGTCAAAGAAACTACAAACCATTTTTACTGCCATTGTCAGTGGTAAGTGTCACCCTTGCACTTGAATCCATCGACACAGAGAGCAAAGCCCTAGAAACCGCACAAAGATCATTTGGTGTGTGTATATGTACTTAGACACATTCTGTGTGTGTGTGTGTTAAGAGTATACATAACCAGCTAAAGAAGTGCGTTGTAATAAGTTATCAGAACCTTGAATCATCAGAAAATGCTAATGCGGTCGTGGGACCAATATGTGCTTTCTTAATAATCTTAAGCACCCCCATGTTGCCAGCCCTCAAGATACGAACATTGCCTTCACTGGTCCCACTGCAAAGCAAATTAGCATTGCTACGAATAAGTCGATTTGTTTAAACATAAATAACATATGCAGAGAATGTGGTTATGTCTGGCACTGGAAAAAGTGATTCTAATGTGGTATAATCATTTACGAAGTATCATGTTACTTTTTTCAACCTTAACAAAATCTCAAATCTCAAACTTATATCAAGATACAAACTAAGCCCTACAACCCACCCCCCTCCCAAAATCTTCATCCAAACAGATCCTAAGTCTCACATTGCAAGGAGCTTCCCATCAGCTGAAACATTAAAGGCTGAAACCAGCAACCAACTTTGACCTCATCCTCTCCCATGAAGAGGTGCTCCATTCCACAATACTTCCTCCTTGAGCTACATGTGAAGGAACATATCTCGTTTATCTTTCTATATTTGTACAGAAAAACTGAGGGAAACATCCAAAGTTACATGTTTACCCCGTGTTGCAGTGACATAGATTGTCTGGTTATGGTCACTACTTCGTGAAAACCTACAAAAGCCAAACTTCTCATCCTGGTTTTAGAAAAACACCATGTTAGAAGACAACGGCAAAAAAGAAATAGAAGTGGGAGGATAACAAGAAAGTTCAAATACAATGAATAAGAACAATATTGGATGCATTGACAAAACACTTCTAGAAGAACTGCAGAATTCTAAATGAAAAGGATAAGAATTGGGTAATAATGAAAAAGGAGGGCTAGACATACTTTGGCTATATGAGTGAAGCTGCTCAAAATGATCGAGAAGGTATATGGTACATCCGGATGTACCTAGAGATAGGTACATCCGGGTAGTACTCATTCTGAAGTTAAGTGATACTCATTCTCACACAAACATAACAGTTCATTTAAAATATCGTGGTACTCATTCTGAAATAACGCAATACTCATTCTAAAATAACGTAGTACTCATTTTCACACATTTGTACAATATTCATTTACGAATAACGTAATACTCATTCTAAAACTTAATAGTACTCATTTCCAAATAGTCTAGTACTCATTCTTAAATAACATATCATTCATAAAAATCTAAAATCTAGGACGAGATTGGAATTAGAACAGATTGAATTAGAGCTTGGCCGACCAGATCTGGAATAGCGGAATCTCGGATCGGAAGATCGATTTCGCCCTTCGCCTTCATAGCAGAGTCGCAGAGCTGTTACGGCGACAGAGGAGGGCGGAGAGCAAGATGCTGGAGACGGAGGAGATGAACATGGCGACGAAGACGTTGAGGTGGGCGGCTGATTGAACCCGATCAATTTTAGTCCGGCTGTACGGGAAGAACCGTACAGCTGGATGTACAATATAATTTGCGAAAATGATCATATATTCATATTACCCGTTAATCACACATTTGTTTATTTTATAAGTAAAATATATTTTAAATGTATCTTTTTACAATTCAGCAATTTCAACATCATCAATACTACTATACTAGCAACAAACAATTTTAGGACACAAGTTGCAAGCTAAGCAATATCAGCCTTACAGATGGGCTCTAAAGTCTGAAGTGGAAACAGTCTAAGAGAAAACATGCCTTCTAGAAGGAACCAGAAGGTATAACAAAGTAATGAAGTGCCATATTCTGACCCACTTTATGCAATCAAATATTCATCAGGTCAAGTTTTATGAAAAAAAGACACAAGGAGAAGCAAGCTTCTGCAATATAATCCCAACACTGTTTTGGTCAGGGGATCACAATGAACACAGCCTTACCCCTGTAAAAACCAAGGGGCTGTTTTTGTTAGACCCTTGATGCCTTGCTGCATTTACTAACCAAAACTTCATAGAAAGTAAGAAGCAAAGGAACTTCAAGCTTTCTTTTTTATTTAGATATTGACTACCACAATACAAACTACAAAGGATGACAAGCTTTTGAACCCCAAGGTATGATGTTGAAAATGTAAGTCTTACATCTTTCTTCTGCAATGAAATCACAGATGCTAATGTTGAGACATTCCAAACCCTACAACAGCCACTTCCCACAGATGCAAGAAATTTGCCATCAGGGCTGCAGAGATAATCAAATCAACCCAATTAGAAGTCTAGATTGTATTATGTTAAGGGCGTAAAGGTATTGATGGTATGAAGCTAATGATAAGAAAAAGAAATCACCACAAACCTGAAATCTAAATCTTTTACAGAATCATCGTCCATCTCATCAATTATAATTTCCATGCTAGGCCATTTGAAAACTCTTAGCTTGCCATTCTGCTCTGCATAGAAAATTAAAATCAAGAAAGGTTTTTCATTTTATAAAAACAATATTTGCTGCATTTTAGACATAAATAAGGAAATAGAGCTTATCAATTAACACAAAATGAAAGAAAGTGGTTTTATCTAAAAGAGGTGAAAAGGGAAGCAAGTGTCCATATACATGTATGCATACGCACCTTGTTCAATAGCTCATGAATGAAACTTTACAAAAAAGACAATGACTATTCCACTTTCTGATTCGCTAAAATTCCAAGTCCGATCCTAGACATTTTTTGGGCCCTGAAAATATTGTACAGACATACTTCTTCCTACCTCTGGGATACCTTTCCTAAACAATTCGGCAGGTTATGCTAGTATGCTATCAGTTCTATTGAAGCTTTGTCTGTTTTATCTTTCACAATTCAGAATAGAGAGATCTTGTACAAACGTACAATGTTGTGAACGGTGAAGCAAAACAAAATATTGTCAGTCGTAGAAAAGAAGACATCTACCTCACCACCAACAGCAAGTAGAGAACCCTCACTGTTAAATGTTAGTGCTAATTGCTGACCAATGTCTTCCAACTGTTTAAGAACTCTCTCGGATGATTTTAGGGTTAATGCACTATCATCTGATTTTTTTACTGCATCCCACTCAAACCATCTGCAAGAGGGAAACCGAAAATTAAGTGAAATGATTTCAACGTTCACAAAGACATAGATTCAGTTTGGAAGTTCAAAGAGTTAAAAAGCACAAAATCTAGCAGTGTATACTGTATAACTGTATATGATAAAAAGACAACAAAACAACAAAACCAGCTTATTCCCACAAATGGGTTCTTGGGAGGGTAGGATGTACAATGCACGCACACCTTACCTCTACTGTAAAGAATGGACTCAATGGAGGGGCTATAAAGACTGAATATTTCAAACTGTAATGTGCTACTTCATACGACTGAAATAAACCCATCTCTCCTCTTTTATTCCCCTCATTTCCTAACTTCGATTCCTTTTGCTCCTGCTAATGGCAAGGTGGTAGCTATTTTCCACCCACCAAGCCTTTCATACAGCAATTTCAAAATGATAAAATAACACAGAAGGAAAATCCTACCACTCGATTTTTTTCTTGTCTACTGCAGTGATACTCTCAATACCTGCAATGTTTAGGAAGTTTACCTGCAATTTTCTGGAAAAGAACAAATGAGACCTTCTCCTCCAGGGTGTGCAGCCATCCTATAAGGCAAATCAGTACCAGTTCCAAGCCTTGCCACCTAAGAGGAAATCCAGTTCATATATTTAACAAGTATCAAAGTTCATCCTCAAGGGCAAAGTATATGAGTTTGTACTAAAAAATACCTTCCGAGGCCATTAGTGAAATGTAAAATTGGGAGGTTTTAAGGATTTAAACATTTACCAATTTCCTATTTAGTATTTAGTACCCTTTGTTTACCATTTTGTTTCATCTTGTTTACCATCATTCCACAATGGCAATTTTTTGAATTTCTAGTTTAGCCAGATACTCTGATGGTCAAACTGTCTTGTAAATACCTACACGGACATCTTTGCTACTTCATTTCCTTTCCATCCCATTCTATATTTTTTCTTTTTAGTTCATATCATATTATCATATGCACATGTGTGTGTGTCTATATATATATATATATATATATATATATGTATGTATGTATGTATGTATGTATGTATCTATGTATGTATGTATGTATATATATATGTATCTATATATATATATATATATATATATATATATATATGCATCTATTTGTGGATGTAAGTCAGTACAGGGCTTGTGTATTCAGAACAATGATAGGAAGATGAAAACAGTACTAAAATAGTAGAGCATAAAGAATATCGAAAAGCGCAAAGAAATAAACCACTCACCGGTTGATCGGATAAAAGGTAGGAATTGAAGTCTACTTGAACAAGAAGAATAGCATTTGGGATGCCGCTACTCCCTTCACCACCCCCTCCAGCCAAGGCAACATAGTTGTGGGCAGGGAGTGAAGACAGGTCATCAGCGGTATCCTTACTGCCACCATCTCCATCTGGCATCTGTTTGGAAGCGAATCTTATTGCACAATGTGGGACCCATGCAACCCCGTAGATTGGCACTCCATACTTCTTTTGTCTTTCATCATCAGCCATGCCAGTTTGAGATGTTGATCCGTTTGTCTTATATATACTAATTCAGTTTGCTTTGCAAGTTTCTCTGCCAAAAGTGACTGAAGGAACATTAACAAACATAAACGAATACTCTCCATTAGAGAAGCAGCCATGTTGAATGATTGCTAAAGTATCTGTCGAAGTTTTAGATGAAATTTGGTATTTGCACCTCATGCTTATCCAATACTAGTCTTTACACACCACATGGGAGCAGAGTAAAAAAAGGGGGGGGGGGGGGGAGGGGTGGTGCAAAATCATGTATTGTCACAACTCACAAACATTGGTGCCGCAATAACAAACCCAATCCCAACCCTGTGTGATAAACACTGGTGCAACTACCAAATTTCTTTTTTTATTACGAAGTATTTATATATTGGGGTATTTTTTTGTTGTGTTGTTGGTCCAAGAACATGTGGGGTGTGAGCTATGCATTCGTGCAGAGAATTTCTTTACTTGCATCAAAACTCTAACTAGTAACTACAGCTATTAATAACACTCGTAGCTATTTTATGTGCTCACTCTATAAATTAATCTAAAATGTTCACTTTTTCCTAACAGCAATCCAACATATCTGCAATAAAAAATATTTCGCTTAAGCAATAATTGAAAAACAAATGAAAAAATGCATATTTACTAATGTATCATATAATGTTAAAATCTAAACATAAACATGAAACATCTTATGGTATATGCTCCTGCCTCCTAACAGGCTTACACAATTAAAAACTGGAAAAAAAAAGGGATTCAAATATAACAATATACATCCTAATCTCTCTGCTTCAAATGAAAGCATTCTTTATTACAAAAATTGAAATAAACGTAACGAGACAAATACTCATCTAAATCACTAAAACATGATCTGTGCAATGGTGTTTCACACACACCTTGGACAATGTAGGGCAAATAGAAGATCTTCAAAACAGTGTCTAAGATTGGGAACATTGTAAAATAAATCTAAAACGTCAATTAATGATTTAAAAAAACATCTAAAATTTGCGTTTTACGAGTGCGTAACTGAATCAAGACTCGCTTTTGCAAATGGGTTGAAGTAGAAGCAGGGGAAGATTGACGAATAGAGCTTGGAAAATGAAATACCTGGACTGATCCCTGATAAACGAACCGCCAGTTGTCTGAACAGGATGCCAGAGCAAAAGGAAGGGGAGATCGGTGCGATTGTTGCGGTTATAGAGATTATATCTAGGACCAAAACATAAATAAAACTACCAAAATAGGACTCTCATGTTTTTTTTCCCGGAATAGGACTTTGCACTGTGGTTATGTGACCTTGCATTGTGGTAATGTGGCAGTGTACATGTGCAAATTTCTATGTTTTTTGGTAATGTATATGACCATGGTTTGTAATGTAAGTTCTATTTCGAGAATAAAAACATGGAAGTCTTGTTTTGGTATATTTTCAAAGTTTTAGTCCTACTTTGGTCTTTCTCCCTTACTGTTATCGCAAGATGCGGGTGCGGATCCTGGGCCAAATAGCTGCTCTGTTTTCCCACTTTGAAAATTCTTTTTTCCAAAATTTATTTCTATTTTTTTTTGTAATTTCAAGATGTTGGGCAAAGAGAGTGACCAATGCTCATTTCTCATTTTCCATTCATTTTATTTTTCTCTATTTGTTTCTTTTATCTATAAAAAGTTTCTAGTTTCTTTTAAACTTTTTTTTATAATTTTTAAAATTCAAAAAAGTTATTCATAAATAAAAAATAAATGAAGTGAAAAATAATTAACATATACTCCGTACAGCATAGACCTGGCAAAACAGATTTGGAATTGATTACCCGAACCAAAATATCCGAAACCGAAACCGGAATGACCTGAAAAATGAAGATCCGATCTATAACCGAAAATCCGAAATGATCCGAATCGAACCAAAACCGAACTAAATAATTCATATCTGATTTAAATCCGAAACCGATTAGATCCGAAACCGATAATATCCGAACCGATTAAATCCGACACCGATTAGATCCGAACCCGATATTACCCGAAACCGATTAGATCTGAAACCGATAATATCCGAATCCGATTAGAACTAAAATCGATAAATTCAGAACTATGTTTGCCTTTCAATAAGCATATTATATTTTTAAAGTTTTACTTTTATTTTACCATTTGAACTAATTACATTACTTGCTCATTCTCTCATAAAATGGACTATCTTTTTGAAAAAAGGTACAAAATTTTATGCCTTAAATTTATTATATGTAGAAATTAAAGATAAGTTATACATATAAATGATAACGCACAAACAAATAAAATTTCTGTAATTTTTAAATATTAAAGTGTGATATTCTTTTTGAGACGAAAGGAATATACGATGAATTGTATGGAATAACTAGATTTTATCCTAATTTCATCTCATTTCAACAAAATTTATTGATTTGGGAGTTAATTTGATTAGTTTCAAACCAATTCATTCAATATTAGTTAATAAAATTAGATGCTAGTGTTAGCATTTTGAAAAGACTCTCTAGCGACAGCCTTTACTGTTATCATTTTCAAATTTGATCTACACCATTACATTTAGGTGTAAAATTAATTATATTTGACACTATTAAATTTAATTTTCTCTATTTTCAACCAAATATACTCAATAATTTATATATTTTGCACTCAATTGAATAAAATTCACTTCATTTCACCCAATTTTACTCAATTTTTACCAAATTGTATTCAAATGGAACATAAAACTATTTGAATTTATCTTTTATCCTTTCATTTATATACATAAGTATATTAGTAGATGTGAGAAAAATTTGATATTTCAAAAATAAATTTTAAAACCAATTTAATTATATTAAATTTATATCATAATTAAATATATATGTTTTCATAATTTGTAGTCCAAAATTGTAAAATATGACTAAAAAGTCAAAAAGAGAAAATTATTTAGGGTAGAGATAATATAACTAGAAAAAAAATATAAAATAATATGAGGTATTAAATTGATGATAGATTGATAAATGTGATAAAACATAAAAAAAACACGGATAGTTAAATTTTAATTAGAAAATAATATATATCCAAAATATATTTGATCCGAAACCGAAATATATCCGAACCGAACTAGACCCAAAACCGAATAATATCCGACTCAAATTGTATCCGAACTGAAATCTATCCGAATCGATTTATAACCGAACCGTATCTGAATCGACTCGAAACCGAACCGAACCGAAAAATGTATTGAACCGAAATCAAATCCGAACCGAAATTTAACCGATCCGAACCGAACCGAACCGATTATAACATATAACCGAAAGATATTCGAACCGAAAAAATCCAACCCGAAACCGATCCGGTTGATCCGATTGCCACCTCTAGTACTACATTTGTCTCAAATTAAAAAAAGTTATTTTTTGTTTCCCAAAATAAAAACGTAAAACTTTTTAAAAAAACTTCATAAAATAAGAAGTAAAATAGGAAATACGGAGTACCCTTTTCACGACATCTTAATTCTAAGGACTTCTTTTAATGATAGTATTCTTTGATATGATGAATTGTTCTCAAAATATCAAAATATTTATGCATTATTTTTATCTTCTAAATAGGAGTTTGACACTCAGAGGCGGATACAGGATTTTACAACCATGGGGTCCTCTACCTCCCATTCTCATCTCCAATCACTTCATAAGTCTTCACATTTAACAATAAACTAAAACTAATATTTGAAAAGTACCATAATTAATACATAGAAATAAAGTAATACGAAAATAATATCGTTTACAATTGTACTCGCCTAGCTTTCATGCTTTGGAAGTAATCTATATTTACATCATCTTTAATGGTGGAAAAGACATCTCTTTCAACATAAGTTACTAAGCAGTCATTCAACAAGTGATCACAAATTTTATTCCGCAACTCATTTTTCACAAATTTCATTCCCGAAAAAGACCGTTCAAAATCAAAATTTCTTTCAATAAAAGTACATTGAGTGCTTTCTTGAACATGTGTAGGTTGAGTGCCTTCTTGAACATGAGTAGATTGAGTACTTTCTTTAATTTCTTGAATAACTATAGATGGAGTGTTTACTTGAGACAACGGAGCACTAACACTATTACCAATTCCACTCGGCTCCGAATCTATGAATTTGGGTAGCTTTTTGAAGTACCTTTGCATTTTAAATTCTGTAAATAAAAAATTGATATTAATTGGGGAAGAGAGGTCAAACTTCGGTGGAACAGCGAACAGAGGACGGCGGACGACGAGAAGAGAGACGGAGAATCGCAGAAGTTAGGGTTCAAAATTAAAAATTCGAAATAGAGAATTAGGGAAGAGAGGTCAATTTTGCAGAGAAAATAGGGGTGAGGATACTATTTACGCGCAAAATGAGGTGGTTTTGCTCCATGCTTTTTTTTATTACGGAGTATAAAAAAACAAATTGCTCCATGCTCTTTTTATAAAAAAGAAAAAGCTAAGCCCAGAGGATCTAGATGGGATTTGAACTCGGGTAATCAAGAATTTTATGCGCTGCTCAATTCCGCTACACCAAACGCAATTCTATTTACGAGGAGTTATGCGTTGTCTATATATTAATATTTTTACAAACCTAATATCTATGTGGACCTACGTCGGGGTCCGTGGGGTCCCGGGACCCCATAGAACTCAAGGTGGGTCCGCCTCTGTTGATAGTGTGAATAATATGGTCTGATGATAATATAACAATATAGATAGTGGTAGTATTGATGGTGAAGTGTGGTGGTGGATCATCAGTCGATAATGGTCAATACCAACGACCGACAATGGAACCACCGCCATTCATGGGAACACTCCCCCTTGCCTTTCGTGACCACGGGCCGTGAGTCCCGCCATGGTCACATTCACGGTCAGTGACCGTTTGCCTTTTTTTGTTTTTCTTTTTTTTTTGCTTTCAATAATCATGTTAGACCAAAATTTAAAAAAATTAATTTAAAATGTAATAAATTCAAATTTGAAACCTATTACCTCCCTCTTCTATTTAAGCAACCAATTCTAACCATTTTCAAACACAATCACTTCTTCGTTATCTTGATTTTTATTATATTTTTTTTACAAATTTTATATTTCTACTCACACCATGAATCCAAACAATCCAAACAATCTGCATTTTTACAATAACCGCCCCCCTTTCAATCCAAACAATCCGAGTGCCAGAAATTTATTTGATAGTTGTTATCATCCGAATTTAGTGGAATTTGAGCATTGGACTCTATCACCATACCAAACTTCTTCTCGGGCGGCTCTCAAGGTTTAACATTTTAATTTCAAACTTCATTCTGGAGACGCAACGTCATTACATGTCGGAGACGCAATCTCTGCATGACCAAGTTACTCTGCTCGAAGCAGAGTCCGAGAAGAAGAAAAAAGCCTCAAAGAAAAAAAGGTTCTAGTTCCAAACCCGCGGAGTCGGTACCGACGAAAAACAAGTTTTTTTTGGTCGGATGAAGAGGAGAGTGCGTTGGCTAAAAGTTCGATCGATGTGACGGAGGATCCAATTCAAGGTATTGTGTTAGAAATATCAAACAAAAAGAAGAATAGTGTGGAATAGTGTAATATCTTGATGATATCCTTGATTGGAATCAAATTACCAATCAAGATATTTGATTAACTTCCACTCACTTTCCTTGATTGTCTCCATTAGTAACTTTGTAATATTTATAGACATCATTAGAGATGTATTCAATAAGATGAATATTTGAGCTGTGAATTCATTCTATCATTACTTCTAACATGGTATCAGAGCAATCATTCGATCAAACGATTGAATGAAACGCAGCTTTCATCATCTACCATAAAAAAAAATATAAAAAATGTCTGAACAAACTCCAGAGAGCTCCACCTACACAGGGGAGTCTGACCCAATGAAGCAGCCTGTGAATCTTGCACAAATTTTGGAAATTCTGCAAAATTTCCAAAATTTAGCACCCAAGGCCGAACTTACCGAGAGCTCCTCA